GGCCACACTTGGAATACTGCATCCAGTTTTGGTCACCACGATGTAAAAAAGATGTTGAGACTCTAGAAAGAGTACAGAGAAGAGCAACAAAGATGATTAGGGGACTGGAGGCCAAAGCATATAAGGAAAGGCTGCTGGAATTGGGTATGTCTAGTTTAATGAAGAGAAGGACGAGGGGGGACATGATAGCAGTATTCCAGTATCTCAGGGGCTGCCACAAAGAAGAGGGAGTCAAGCTATTTTCCAAATCCCCTGAAGAGGACAAGAAGCAACGGGTGGAAACTAACCAAAGAGAGAAGCAACCTAGAACTAAGGAGAAACTTCCTGACAGTTAGAACAATTAACCAGTGGAACAACCTGCCTCCAGAAGTGGTGAACGCTCCAACCCTGGAAGTTTTTAAGAAGAGACTGGACAGCCATTTGTCCGAAATGGTATAGGGTTTCCTGCCTGAGCAGGGGGTTGGACTAGATGACCTCCAAGGTCCCTTCCAACTTTATCATTATTATTATTATTATTATTATAACCGCATGAGCTTCATTATAAACGTAGCAATCAACTCTTTCCCTGGGCCTCCATTAGGACTAAAAGATAGCGTGACACAAAATGAAACACCTACAATGTTGAGAGTAAGCAAAGGGGCTGAGGGTGTGGGGGTGTGTGTCGTAGAATACAGTTCTTCTCATTTGTCTAATGAAAGCTCAGTTGTCCTGCATCAACCTTGGTCATCCTGGAATAATAATAAGACCTGGAATCTTTGTTTCAAACCTGGCTGCAATAATTAACCAATTTCTTAATTCATCACTGGGGTTGTCCTGGAGAATTTGGACCAGGCGACGGACCTCTCCGTGTATTTCCAATTAATTGTGAATATGGAAGAAGTGCATGTCTTAATTTCTCCGTTTGACTTCAAGTGTAATGACTTAGTTCGGGGGTAGGCAACCTTGGTTCTTTTATGACTGGTGGACTTCAACTCCCAGAATTCCTGAGCCAGCATGGCTCAGCTTGGAAACCTCTCCCTTTCCCCTCAGCATGGCTGGCTCAGGAATTCTGGGAGTTGAAGTCCATGAGTCATAAAAGAGCCAAGGTTGCCTACCCGACTTAGTTCATGGCATTGCCAAAGTAACTCGACTGTATAGGAGTAGTCTTCAACTTACGATCCCAACTGGGCCCAAAATTTCTGCTGCTAAGTGAAGCAGTTGTTAAGTGAATTTTGCCCCATTTTACCACCTTTCTTACCCCGGTTCTTAAGTGAATCACCGCAGTTGTTAAGTTAGTCACCCGGGTTTGAAGTGAATCGGGCTTCCCCCAATTGACTTTGCTGGTCAGAAGGTTGCAAAAGGGGGAAATCACGTGACCCCGGGGGACGCTGCAGCCATCATAAATACGAATCCATTCCCAAGCGTCTGAATTTTGATTATGTGACTGTGGGGATGCTGCAACAGTCGTTAAATGTGAAAACTGGTCAAAGTGGCTTTTTTCAATCCCGTTGTAACTTCAAATGAACTGTTGTAATTCAAGGACTGCCTCTATAGAATAAATTCACGGTAATATAAACTTGCATGGTGGACTGGGGACTGTTGTACAAATGCATTTGCTTTAAAGTGCCACAAAACATTTTTCTGCTTATACTGCTGTGTCAAATAGTCGGTTCCATACGTACTGTCAACACTGCTAAACATCGGATGTTTTGCATTGACAACAGATGGAAATGTAGCCATCTTTTTCCCTTTCGCTTTTAGCTTTTAGAGTTAGATGATGCTGGGAGGGGTGGGGATGTGAATGAGAGTCCAGCTAGATATAACAACACTAAACCTAGCGTGAGAATCAAGGTTATTGAGCCCAGAGCTGATAAAGAATTGGCAATTGTGCTTTGATACTATGGGCCCAGGGGAGAGGAATTCAGTTTTTGGCTTCGATTATGTAGTGCCGATATTATGCTACTCGAATAAAAGATTCTTTAAGGTAAATAATGCCTCAAAGTTCTTTTGAAGAGTTTCATCTGTCGGAACCATGACACGTACGTGTGAGGGAATCCTTTCTTTTGCAAAAGCCTAGTGCAAATGTTAATTGTCTTTTGCTTCTTTTACAAAAGTGCCCGGAACATTCTTCCCATTCTCCTGTTCGACTGGCTCCCCGTATTTAGGGTTGTATCAAACCAACATTAATCGTAGGCCAGGAATGAATCCTGTAGCATGTACAAGTGCCCTGCGCCTTTTCCTGATTACATACAATCCTTCCGATTTAAATTAAGAAAACAAAACGTAGGACAACGGGGAACATTTTAAGACACCGCCCTGCTTTCTCCAGAATTGCTCTCTCCCCCTCAAGGACCCAGAGAAATTTTGAAAGAGTAAAGCCAGGAAAAAGAATATGCAAGTGAGCTATACTAAAGAACATCCCGCCGACACGGACACACACCCCACAAAGTTTTGAAACTTTGCCTAGAGAACTTTCAGAAAAGCTAAGCAGTTTTTCCTCCTGGATCGGTAGAAGAAATCAACCTGAGTCCTTGGAACAAAGTCGAAACAAACTACGGAAAATGATTTTTCCAGGTTGGATTTCAGAACAGGTGTCTCGAGTAGCAGAAACCTCCTACACAAAACTCACCTTGCAACGACGCAGCAAGGCTCTGGCGATGCAAAGCAACTGCCTCTCCCCAACGGAGAAATTTTCCCCATTTTCCATCACTTCGGATTCAAGTTTCATGGGCAGCTGAGAAATCTAAATGAGAACAAAGCAAGGGAAGAAGGTCAAATGGATGGTTCTAAGCCAGAGGTGGGCTGGCTCAGGAATTCTGGGAGTTGAAGTCCACAAGTCATAAAGGGACCATCGTTCCCCACCTCTGCTCTAAACCAAGGTCTCTAAACTTAGCAAATAATAATAATAATAATAATAATAATAATAAAAATAATAATAATAACAACAACAACAACAACAACAGCAGCAACAACAACAACAATAATAAAGTTGGAAGGGACCTTGGAGGTCATCTAGTCCAACCCCCTGCTCAGGCAGGAAACCCTATACCATTTCAGACAAATGGTTGCCCAGTCTCTTCTTAAAGACTTCCAGTGTTGGAGCATTCACAGCTTCTGGAGGCAGGTTGTTCCACTGGTTCTAACTGTCAGGAAGTTTCTCCTTAGTTCCAGGTTGCTTCTCTACTTGATGAATCTCCATCCGTTGCTTCTTGTCCTGCCTTCATGTGCTTTGGAAAATAGCTTGACTCCCTCTTCTTTGGGGCAGCCCCTGAGATATTGGAGCACTGCTATCATGTCCCCCCTCGTCCTTCTCTTCGTTAAATTAGACATGCTGAGTTCCTGCAACCATTCCTTATATGTTTTAGCCTCCAGTCCCCTAATCATCTTTGTTGCTCTTCTCTGTGCTCTTTCTAGAGTCTCAGCATCTTTTTTACATCGTGGTGACCAAAACTGGATGCAGTATTCCAAGTGTGGCCTTACCAAGGCATTGTAAAGTGGTATTAATACTTCCCGTGATCTTGATTCTATTCCTCTGTTAATGCAGCCCAGCACTGTGTTGGCTTTTTTGGCAGTTGCAGCACACGACTGGCTCCTATTTAGGTGATTGTCCACTAGGACTCCAAGGTCCCTCTCACAGTTACTACTATTGAGCAAAGTACCCCCTATACTATATCCGTGCATTTGGTTTTTCTTGCCTAAATGTAGAACTTTACTTTTTTCATTCTTGAATTTCATTTTGTTAGATAGCGCCCAGTGTTCCAGTAAATAAATTAAAAACAACTATCAGAGAAACTTCGACCTGCAGATTCTTGATTCCGTCCCTTCTCCTCCTCCTTCAGCCTATGGAAAGTACAGCATACGCATGGCGACAATCGGGACTGCAACTTCCATAGCTAAGTCATTAAGTGAGTCGTGCCCATTTTTGCCGTGATCATTAAGCGAATCATGCTCTTGTTAAGCAAATCCAGCTTCTTCCACTGATTTGTCGGAAACTGACTGAGAAATTGAGATCCCGGGAAGCTGCAACCATTGTAAAAAGCTGCCGGTTGCCAGACGCCCAAGTTACGATCACATGACCACGGGGACGCGGTGAAGGTCATATGTACGAGGACCAGTATATAAGCCAGTCTTTTTCAGCTCCGTTGTAACTTCAAATAGTTGCTAAGTGACTACCTGTGTTCCCCAAATAGCCCAGCAGTTTTCTGTGGAAAAGGTGCAATGATATAGCCACAATGGAGCAGCGGAACAGAGAGGAATTTAACTCCCGGTTCTTGTACTTACGCAGTCTTTCATGTGAGTCCTTTCCAAAGTCTCCCAGATCTGCTCCTCGCTGTACTGTGTGAAAGGGTCCAAATTGGATCTGAAGAAGCCAACATATAACAGCAAATCACTACCTGTTTCCATCAAAATAGATATAATCTACGGGAAACTTAAGCCCTTTTTCAAGGGAAATTCTGTCTTGTAAGGCAATGGTCTTCAAACTTGGCAACTTTAAGACTTGTGGACTTCAACTCCCAGAATTCCTCAGCCAGCCCCTGAGGGCTGGCTGAGGAATTCTGGGAGTTGAAGTCCACAAGTCTTAAAGTTGCCAAGTTTGAAGACCCCTGTTGTAAGGAGTGAGCAGGAGAAGCAGGAGCAGAACGGTTAGCTG